AACAAAGAAGCGAACTTCCTGTTGCTGAAAATTTTCAAATATAAACTTGGTGTTTCCAGAAAGATGTGATGCAATAAATGGAATAAGGGAAAATTAGGTCTCTAAGGTCTTAAACAACTATATTCCACTTTATCACTGGAATGTACTCATCAGAGTGCTAAGGCCAGAGTGATTTCTGTTATTTGAGTTTCTTTACAGGAACCTTTCTCCAACATCCATGCCTTATCTCCTCCTTATCTACCCTTATCTGAATGTGCTTGTTTTTGACCCTGCTCTAAGCCCTTTCTGTTTTGGTTTTAACACAAGAGTTACATAGTCCAATGCTCTGGTGTCAGACTGCTTGGGTTTGAATCCTGATTTCACATCGGCCAGCTGTTTGAATTCTGGAAGGTTACCTAGGCTGATTAAGTCTCTTTTTCTTTATCTGTTGAAAGCAAATGACAATAGTGCCTCTTGCAAATAGTTGTTCTAAATTTTAAATAATGGTAATCCAGATAAAGTGATTAGTAAAATGCTTGGCCATGGTAAGAACCTAGTAAATGGTAGTTATATTTTCATTTAAGGAATATCAATTCTTTTTTTTTTCCTTAAACTTCTAACCACTCTTGAACTCCAAGTTTTACACTTAATTTCAAATATATGTACCCTTTATCTAGTTGACTAGATGTGTGTCTTCATTTGTCTGTAAAGCAGGTTTTTGTGTATTTAATTTTATTTTCTTGTTAATGTTGTATAGTCGGAGATGAAGTCTTATTAAGCCATTGTATCAATAATAATGAACAACAGATGCTTTCGTTGTTAGCAGATTATTGACAGCATTTAAATTAGCCGTTCATTGGAGACCCTCAGAACTTAGAGAAATTTTAAAAATATAATACCAAAAGGCGCCCTCCCCCAATAAACCCCGCCAGCACCTCCCACCTCAGTCTTAAAAAAAAAATGATCATGAGAACATAACAAAGGTGTTTATTTGGGGTAGAAACTATCTTTCATTGAAGTGTGAGATGTTTATGAAGACCTAAGAGAAATGGACACGCCCAGAGTGGTTTATAAGCAGAATAGCTCGTAACCCTGGTGTGGAAAAGGCCATTTCTTGAACTCACAGGACAATGTCTTTAAAATTTCATTCCTAAAAAGGCACAAGGTCATATGGATAAGAAAGTGGGGAACTTTGTGGTAATGGTTGTTTCTTCAGGATATTTTCTGTTTTATGTGTCCAGTGTCATTTCTAAATACTTAATAGAACCATCACTGAAATACAGTGCATTATTCAGAACTGAAAGTACCTACATTTACTGTAAATATTTATCTTGCATATACTGTGCACATATGTGGTTTTCAATAGCTTCAAATATGCTGGAAATTTCTGACCGGCCCCTTTGGTGAACACCAGGCTGCGGGCTGCATGTGTGGTAACAATTCCAGACACTCTTCTTTAGTTCCAGCTCTGGCAGAGACCTTCTCACCATGGTTGATGATGTATGAGGGAATCACGGCTGTGTTCCTTTTGCCTCTGGGTGCTGCGGTAACATAGATTCCTGGCAAGTAAACAGGGCCTAGTTTAAAGACCATTTCAACTAGGTGGTTAAGGAAAAGAACTCATTTTCATCTCTGGTCAGTGTTGGGTGACATCAGTATTTCCCATAGCCTTTGATCTCTGGATTCTTGAGGTACAGGAAACAACTACGTTAGAAACACATTTGGAAGCCTAGGCCACTGGAAATGTATTAAAAGTCAAAGATCCCCATTCAGGGTTTAGGGTTCTAATTTAAATGCCCTCTGACCTTATTACTAACATTTGCAAAAGACACCCTAGGCTTTAACATTCCTTTTTGTCTTTTGTATTTTGGTGGCTTGCTATATTAGATTATCCAAATGAAAGCATCAGTTGGATATTTCTTCTTCTTCACCTCCTACCATGGTAATGTATATAAAGAAAACAAGCAAAAAGGTGGTACAAGAATATTTAATGGTAAAGTCAGATTCAATAGAAGCAGAGGTGGAAGAAAGGAACCTAGTTGCTTCACTTTTAACACACATGTTTTCCGTAGATGGCTGGTTTTCTTCAGTTTTCATAATTACAATTTCAGGCAGCATCCCTCCACTCCAGGCTGGTTATCCCATTTGTGGGTTACCCATTTCCTGTGCATTTCCTTCCTCCAGCCCACCTCTTGGCCACATTAACATGACTTCATGTCACAATCGATACCGCAGGTGGCCACAGCAGGTTTTGAAAGGAGAATGGAATAAAAACCTGTCAAGGTTGCTTTGGGTTAAAATAAAATATTTGGTGAGGAGAGGCCCAAACTCTTGGCCAGAATGAGGCTTCTGACAAATGGAGACATTTCAGAAATCTACACTATTTTTTTAATCAATCTTTGTTAACTAAGTGTTAGCTGGCTGTGTATCTTGGAAGAGGTCAGAGCAGTACACGTACTGGAAATAAAGTTGAGAATATACCCTCATTTATGGGATATAATTAGCCAATATTTTTGAAATCCTAGGTCAGACTTAGTTTATTACATGGTCTTCTAGGGGCTTATAGTCAGGAAGACAAAATTCACACCCAGGATTCAACAGTCAACAACAGTTGGGCAGAATTCACTGAGTCGGTGTTGGATTGCATAGAACAGAGAGAGAGGGGGAGAGAAAGTGTGTGTGGGGTGGGGAAGAGGGGGTGGGGTGTATTTTTAAGTTCAGAGAAGGGAAAAAGACAAGTAGGCTGAAAAAGGCTATGTGTTAAGAGGTAGGTCCAAAGCTGGGGCCCAAAAACTGAAGGCACGAGGGAGGGAGAATTCGGATTAGTAGAGTAGAATAGTAGAGTGTGTGTGTTCAGGGCCTCAAGTGCCAGAAAGAAGTCAGGAAGGTGGGGGAAAAGATACAAATTTTCTTACAAAATTAGAAGCCCCTATTCTGTAGGAAATCAATGTTGTCTGTCATGAAAATATGGGTGCACCCTTTCTTAGAATGAATCCTTGAAACTACTCGAGTGTATTTATAACACTCAACAAAAGGCAGTCTCATTTGGGGAATACATTAATTAACAAATTGATTTTGGAGGCATTGGAAGCACCTGTAAGGAATGAGGTTTGGAAAGGAGCTTCCGCTTAGGATGTAGTTGGAATAAAAGCTGAGTTGTGGCCTACAACGCCCTGAATGATCTGACATGCCTCTGCTTCTAACTTTCTGCCTCTGTGCCATTCTCTTCCTCTTCACTAAGCTCCAGCAATACCCATCCTCTGATATGCTGAACTCTTTCCTGCTTTACCATCTTTGCATGTGCTGTGTCCTCTACCAGGACACTTGTCCCTAGGCTCTTGGGCAGACCAACTCCTTCTCACATTTCACATTTGCAGCGACTGGAATCTTTTTTCTGACCATCTCATCTAAAGTGGTGTGCTCAGATCCCTCAGCATTCACCATCATATCACAGTGTTTAAAACACAAAGAGCCTTTAAAACACAGGGAGCTCACCGAATGGTCTTGTTTATTTGGTGGTTTATCTTCTGTGTCTCGCCTTTAGGACAGGCACCTCCTCTGCCTTGTGCACAGCCACACCCTAGCATATAAATTCAAACCGGGTAACTGAGGAACATATGCTTTATAATTTCTTAATTATAGTAGGTACTCAGTGAAGTGTGTGTTAAGTGAATCCATAGCAGTGAAGTCTCCATTGTATTTAGGGCATAGTAAGCTTCTGTTCTCCTCCATTCCCAATATGCTGAAGTGTTTGTTACAAAGCAGGAAGAAAGTAATGAATGGGGAAAGATCTGGGGTGGCTCGTGTTGCTATGGAATTATATAGCAGCACAGCTCTTCTCTTTTGTTCCTGTCCCGAATCTTAAGAACCTAGAAAACAACATCACACAGAGGGATATTTCAAAGAGATGGACTTTAAAGGAACAATTGTATGGGTTAGATGAATGCCCGTAAATTATGTCAGGAAAAGCTGCTGCCTTAATTTGTCTTTCAGTATGTTTGTATGTTGTAGCCATTGCAGAATGAAATTACTATACATAATGAGCTCGGGTTCCATGTTTTACAGCCTGCCCCTCGAAGCCTTCACACACATTGTCCTGTGTAGGGCACCTTTCTGGACTTGGCACTATTCTTCTTTGCCTTCTTGAAGAAATAGTGCTGGATGAATTTGTCTGCTGCCTACAAATTATAGTACAATAGCCATTGTTAATTTAGTGAAAGAAATGTGGACAACCTGTTATTTTGTCTTGTCCATGGGTTTTTCACAGAAGCGCATATCTGGCTGCTGTACAGAAGCTGCCTGAGTGGTTCCATTTGTAGCTGGATTGGCTTCTAGGCGCTTGGTTAAGAAATTATAAAGTATATGTTCTTCAGTGACATGGTTTGGATTTATAAATGAAATACTATGATGCCTATTTGTATGTCATTAAAACATGTTAACAATAAAATGATACATCCATTTTTCTGCTGTTGAGATACACTTTATTTATTTTATGCTTTTCCAAAAGACTTAGAGTACCAAAACAGAGCTGGTGGCGGAGAGATTTCTATTTCACTTGCTTTTCCTACATCTTTCTTTCCTGTCTTCCCCTGTTCATGCTGGAGATCTGTGTTTCTACACTAGTAGACAATGTGCCAAATTACTGTTAATTTAACGCATTATCTTAAGAAGTAGAGCCAGGCACAATGGCTCACGCTTGCAATCCCAGCACTTTGGGAGGCGAGGTGGGAGGATCCCTTGAGGCCAGGAGTTTAAGACCAGCCTCAGCAACAAAGCAAGACCTTGTTTCTGCCCAAAATTTAAAAGTTAGCTGGGCACGGTGGTGTGCATTTGTAGTCTCAGCTACTCAGGAGGCTGAGGCGAGAGGATCCCGTAAGCCCAGGAGTTGGAGATTACAGGAAGCTCATCACACTACTACACTCCAGCCTGGGCAGTAGAGCAAAAAAGAAAAATAAATAAATAGGTAATTCTTCAATTTCCTCACTATTTAGTAATCTTGCAGCATGCTTTTCTTCTTTCAGCACTGCAGTGACAATACGCATCCCTGCCAGTCTGACATGAATATCGAAGGAGCCTGGAAGAGAGGCTACACGGGAAAGAACATTGTGGTCACTATTCTGGATGACGGAATTGAGAGAACCCATCCAGATCTGATGCAAAACTACGTGAGTGTATGCTGTGGTTGGAAGGTCTTTCCTTCTGGGAAACAGGGAAACTCATGTTAGGGTTATCAATAAGGTGGATAGCTACTGAAAAATGTAGCAGCATACAATAAGGTATTGTGTTTTGTTTTTCTCTGGTAAAAGATGAGTTCTTTGAATACAGGAAGCATGAGATAACCCTTTCAACTTTCCAGTGACTCTGATGTTCTGACTTAACAAAAAGAAAGCAATAAGGTAGCAGAAACCTCACCACCAACACCATCTGCTACCAGCAACATTCACTGTTCTCAACACTTTATCCAACCAGCCAGGCAGTACTCTTTGTTTCTTTTATGGAGAAAAATGTACTTCAAACTTTTCTCCAGTTGTCTGATGGTCTTCTTTCTCTCTCTGCCTCTTCTTTTTTTTTAAAAGGACAGTAATGATCGGCCTCCCAGTGGTCTGTAGGAATCAATTCCTTTCTTAAGAAGAAGCCACAAATTCATTTAGTTCTCATTTGAACAAAATGGTTGAGTTGCTGCATCCAAGTGCACCCAGACAAACTGTGTCTCTTTACAGAATAGAATTTTAAAGCTAAAAAGGAACTTCAGGTTACTCTCCTTATTTGATAGGAGAATAAATTGTAGCCTGAAGACAGAAGGGAGTTATCCATGGTCAGATAGAAGAACAGAAACTATGGCTCTCTGTGCACCAGCAGAGATGTCCTTCTTGTCACACGCAAAGAGGGTTTTACAGCATGCTGCTCTTCCCCACTGCATATGAATGTATTTGACTAAATACAAATAGCATTCATGTAATTGGGAGTGCAGTCTTTTATCTTTTTCATTTTTCTCCTCTTGAGAAAAAATTCTCTAGAATTATCTGTGCCATTAGCATGATTGGCGCCCTCTTGCTTCTTCTTTATGCTGGACCTGGTGGGGAGTAGAGAAAGCACGTTGGGTAACATGTCAAAGACTTGGGTTCCTTCCAGTCTGGATTTGTTTAATCACTTTTAAAGGCAAACAAGCAGATCCAACTTTGGTTTTGGCGATACTGTTTCTTCATATTGAAATCTTAGTGTAGGAAAACTTTGTTTATCATTTTGGTTGGTCCTCTGTTTCGGGCCTCTTTTTCCTTACCAGTAAAAGATACATTAGATACACTCTGAAGCCTTCGTGCTCTAAAGGACACTAAGCAGGTCCGTCGAGCCTCTTTTGCACAGGAAGCAGGAACTTACCACCTGTATATACAATATATATTTTGCTTGATTTCCCTAAACATTTCAGTCTTTATGTTCTAAAAGTTATTTTCAGAAAGAAGAGCCTTTGATAAAGACAGAAAATCAAGATAGTGTTTACTTTCACTAACATTGAAATTAGGAATAATAATAAAGTATAAGAACATTCAGGCTAGGTGCACTGGCTCACACCTGTAATTCTAGCATTTTGGGAGGCTGCGGCAGGAGGATTGCTTGAGCTCAGTAGTTTGAGACCAGCCTGGAAAACAGCGAGACCTTACCTCTAATAAAAGTAAAAAAAAATGAGGAGAGAGAAAGAGAGAGACCAAGCCACTCAACAGAAGACCACCAGAACTGAAAATAAGCCAGATTATACTCCAGAGAAGGGGTCCCAATAATACCACATTATTCCAGGCTAGAAGGTGGAAGCAGCCCATTTTTCATTTGATAGTAAGATATGTTTCTTACAGCCAACTAACCTACATAGAAAGAAACTTCTGCCAAATTATTCTAGTGACCCCATACACTTGTGGTCTTAATCTCTTGTATTCCCTCTGAGCACTTCTTTTCCCTCCTTATATTCTTGTATCTTTCTAAAAGCTAAAAAAAAAAAAGAGCTGGGCATGGTGGCACCTGCCTATAGTCTCACCTACTCAGGAGCTGAGGCAGGAAGATTGCTTGAGCATGGGAGATCAAGGCTGCAGTGAGCCCAGCCGTGATCACGCCACTGCGCTCCAGCCTGGGTGACAGAGGAAGACCCTGTTTCAATTAATCAATCAATCAAAGAAAGTTCAAAGCATGTTAAATTAGGCTGGCTACAGTGACATAAATTTGATAAATGGTAACAGTCTAGTAATTTTTTTTCAGTATTGCAGATATTTTTCACAATCATTTTTAAAAGCAAACAAGCAAATCCAACTTTGGTTTTGGAGATACTATTTCCTTATTTTGAAATCTTAATGTAGGACAACTGTTCATCATTTTGGTTGGTCCAAAAGCCAATGGGTATTAGCAGAATGTCTAAATCATGGACTCCTTTATAGTAGATACAATATCTGGTTTGTATCTAATAGACGAGGGTTGTCTAATAGCGGTCCCAAGATACCTGACATAATAAAGATCTGATATTGATTGTTAATTGGCTTGCCAATGATACGTGAATGATTTTTGTCTTCTGAAATCTGTATTATGATAAGGAAGTTGCAAGCTCAAGAAATCAAGTAAGGAGTAGGGGGAGAGTCTATGGAGAATAAATCACTTTGTGCCTAGGTAGTCAAGAGAGAAAAGGTAATAATGAGGATGTCTTTGAAAGATATACATTTCATGAACTGGGTCATTCTAGGTATGAGGGGGAAAAGTCTGGCAAGAATGAACCAGGCAATTCTTTGGTCTGTGTAGAGTTCTTCTTCACCTTAAGGGGGAAAAATACAGCACTAATTATCACTGAATGAGCACTCCCTCCCTAAGGCCTGACACCACTGAACCGTGAGCGTATTAGTTAACCTAATTACTTTCTGGCAGAAATGTATTTAAAAATGCATGAGCCTGTGGGTCAATGGCTAATTAATGAATGTCCATTTCCTTTCCCTTGCTCTCTCCTCTGTGGCTATAGGATGCTCTGGCAAGTTGCGACGTGAATGGGAATGACTTGGACCCCATGCCTCGTTATGATGCAAGCAACGAGAACAAGTAAGGCCCAAGTGAGGGGTGGCTGTCATGTGGCTGGCAAGGAGCTTTGTTTTCTGCTCATGCTGAGGGAAGTATTTTCTTCAAAATCCTTGATAACATGTGTAAAGGTAAACTGAGGCTGGAGCCGAACCGGGAACGAAGACACAAGGCAAATGGCAGTGAGAATAGCCTTTTATTAGGGCTTGCGGGCGAGGTTCCTCGATCCAAAGGCGTGGGCCGAGGAAGTCGCGCTGAGGGAGGAGGGTAGGGCCTTCTTACAGCCTGAGAGGTAGGGAAGCTGATTGTGCAAACAGGGCCTGGGGGGTCTTGAAACTACTAGGGCAGGAGTTGAGTAAGGGTCATGAGGAAGGGGTCTTTGGAAACTGTTCACCGAAACTGCTGTTTACAAACTTGTGGAATGCAGGTGAGCTGCAGGTCATGGGGGAGTGTGGTTGCCCAGCCGGAACTCTGACGCATGTAAGTCTGCGGGTGTGTACAAGGGTGAAGGGAGTCTTTAACAAAAGGCCTGCTACGCCGGGTAACGCCGCCATGTTAGGTCTAGATTCCTGCCTAACAATATGATTCTTAATTTACTCCAAGATAAACAAGTGTCTTTCCACTGAAGCCTCTGAGTAAGAAAAAAGGGATGCTCCATATAGAAAGAATGGTTGCAGAGAGAGCCCTGGGGAATGGCTCAGCATTTCCAAATCTTGAGACTGGAACTAAGAGATGACCCCTCACATGGTAATTGCCCTGTGACCCGTTTGTTTAGGGACAGAGGTGGTGAAGGGAGAGGCCAAGCAAAGTACCTCCCAAAAGAATCCTTTGTTCTGTTAAATTCAACACATGATTGAATACTGCATTTGAGGTCCCCACCTGAGAGTTTATTTTACTTCTCCTTTGCTCCTCTCTCCTCTGTAGTTATTGTGTTTTTCACTAATATACCTGAAATACCTGGAAGGATTATCGCCAATTGAAGAAGGCATTACTTTTCTTATTTTCCCCCTGTCCAGGCAAGAGGCACAGAAACCTGGTTAACCACAGTTATGCTTTCTGTTTACTGCTGTGGTTTTTGGTGAATGCAAATCAACATTCACATCCATTTGATAACAGAATATTTTAACATTCCTCAGGCAAGTAAGAGAGAATGGTTTTTCTTGCTTACGTAATGACCCAGATTCCTTACATTATTAGTAGATATTTCTAATCTCTAAATCACATTAATTAACTTTTTTCCCTTTTACTATGAAGCTCCTCAGGATAATGCTGTAATTTAGATACTTTCATGTGAATTTTTATTTACATGTTTTATTTACATTACATACACAGAAGTTGCAAAGAGAACTGTTTAGCCCATTTATTTTGTTATTTCTAATCTGCTTTTTTCTTTAGGGAAAAATTTCTTAACTAGGTTTATTTGATTAAGTCAGTAAGTTTAGATAAAACCATATGACCTAGAAAATTGTCACTGTACCTATGTGGTTTTTCTTTACTGTCGGCAAAGAAAGCTTAACAAAATAACTAGAAACATGCTGCTGGTTGACATGAACAACCAAGTAAATCTTCTAGATCGGATTCAGTGGTGAAAGCATTAATACACAAATTGCTATAGGTAGAATTTTCCAGAACTTCCAAGCAAACAGAGAGACCTACGTTAAACTGGATAGTTTTCTTTCAGATTTACTGTGACTGCCCAGTGGGTTCACCTTGTCCACAGCCTAGACAGAGCCAATTTATCAAGACAGGGGAATTTCAGTGGAGAAAGAGTAATTCACATAGATCTGCCTGTGCTGGAGACCGGAGTTTTATTATTACTCAAATCAGCCTCCACCAAGCATATGGGGATCCGAGTTTTTAAAGACAATTTGGTGGGTAGGGACTTAGGAAGTGGGGACTGCTGATTCGTCAGGTTGGAGATGGAATCACAGGGGGCTGAAGTGAGGTTTTCTTGCCATCTTCTGTTCCTGGGTGGGAAGGCAGAAATGGTTGAGCCAGATTATCGGTCTGGGTGGTGTCAGCTGATCCATCGAGTGCAGGGTCTGCAAAATACCTCAAGCATTGATCTTAGGTTTTACAACAGTGATGTTATCCCCAGGAGCAATTTGGGGAGTTTCACACTCTCAGAGCCAGAGGCTGCATGACCCCTAAACTGTCATTTCTAGTCTTGTAGCTAAATTGTTAGTCCTGCAAAGGCAGACTGGTCCCCAGCCAAGAAGGGAGTCTTTTCAGGAGAGGGCTATTATCAGTTTTGTTTCAGGGTTAAACCAGGAACTGAATTTCTTCCCAAATTTAGTTTGGCCTACACCCAGGAATCAACAAGGACAGCTTAAAGGTTAGAAGCAAGATGGAGAAGTCGGTTGGGTCTGATCTCTTTCACTGTTCATAAGTTTCTCAGTTATAATTTTTGCAAAGGTGATGCCAATCCCTCCCTTTGGGTTTCATAGCACCTTATTCTTAAAGTGTGGCCTATGAAGACGGGAAAAGACCATCGATCACTCTGACTTCTTCTTGCTGATAGGGGCATAGTGGGGTAGGTGTTGACCCCAAGGTGAGAGGAGTGGAACTGCTTTGCAGCTGTCTGAGCTATCTGACCGTACTCACGCAGGCCAGGCTGGGGTTCCAAGGCTTTCATGACAAAGATGTTAGTATTCTCATTTATAGTTTTAGTACAGCATTTAAGCAGACAGTGTACTATAAGGTAAATAATGAGTTTTAGGATAAGGAGTGCAATTCCCAGTTTTAAAAGTAAAGATTTGAAAGCATTAGTTTGGGGACTTAAAGTCCACCAAAAATTTAGGATTTAGTTTAAATTGAAGAAAAATAAAAATGAAATCTCAAAAACAACTAACAACAGGTGTACTGTAGTTTTGGGAACGTAATTTTTCTCTTTCCAGTCCTTATTTTTATTAAAACAAATCATGATAGGACTGATTTATTTGCAAATAAACTTTAGTTTTTTTATGCTTGGCCTGATTATTTGCATAAGGTGCAGCAAGAGTAATTATTTTTTACATAGGCTTTTTAAATTGGCTTTGATGGAACTGTGTTCCATAAGGAATCTCACATAAGAATTTTTTAAAGCCAAGCCCAGCCATGGGTTTTTACCCTCTAATACCTGTCAGTTGGGTAAATTTCTGTCCTCTTGAGGTCCCAAGGTAACTTAGGGCTCCTGGGCCTGTCAGAAAGTGGCATTCTTTACTTACCACAGGTCAGGCACCCTGTAAAGGAACTATGTAGGCAAGGTTTGAGGCAAGTTTTCCTAAGGGGCTATTATTGACTTTACAAGTCAAGTTTGATTCCTTAAAGGAAAGCATGCCATTCCAGTCAAAGCCTTGGTAAAATAACCAGTTTCTTCAACTGTGTCCTGTTCAAAAGAAAACATTCTTATTGCACTTATGCAAGTAACTGTATTGCCATAAGTTAAGAATACTCACAGATAGTTTCTAAATTCTGGAGAAATTAGGTAGAGAGAATCAAATATGCTCTAAATTTTGTCCACAGGAGTATACTTTACTCAATTGTTAAAAGCTGGAAATAGCTCAAAAGAAAAGTGTTTTTGTCTCTGAAAAACAAAAAGGATCAGCAACACTTTAAGCAAAAAAAAAAAAAAATCTAAAATATTTACTTCAGTTTTCTGTTAGTTCAGTCCATTTAGTTAACTCCTGTTCTGCTGGATATTCATAAACATTTTAGCTCTCTGCGAGAGTCCTGAAAGTTTTTTTTTCCTTTATTCTAATGTCATAATCTCCAAAGTTATCAGAAACTTGCATTCAAGAGCACCTATTAAAGTTTTATAGCCGATTATAAAACCATCTTCTAAAGAGGACCAAATCAAGACAACAGTTATCTATGGATGACAAAAATATTTTAGGGAAGCCACAGTCAAAGACACAATTGACAAGGAAATTTGTTAACTCTGTGACACACGATAATTCAACATAACAATTATAATTATTACTGATGACATGTATTGAGACATACCAGAATTATAGGAATCTTACACAATTTTGTAACACATACTAATAACAAATTTATATGAGTATAACCAAAAGAAAGTTAAAAACCATTTTATACTTAACAGTGTTCCCTGCATGATTTTAATACATTAAGTAAGCCGAATATGTGTTGTAGTCTGGATTATAATGTCTATATGTAAAGACAATTCTTTGAATATTTGCTTTGATGGCTTTTTATAGTCTATCCTTTTAAAACTGTTTTTTTTTTTTTTCCTAAGGATTTCTTTTAAACTTGGCCACTTCCCAAGACCCTTGTTCAAGAAGAATCATGACAGTCATGCTCATCTGGGGTATTCTAGTGTGTCCCGCTTTGACCCATCCTAAGCACTGGTCATGGTTCATTGAGTGCAGTGGGGGATTGATTGTTGGAGGACGTAGACATTGTTCCCAATGTGTGCTTAGGTTTGCCATCTTGACAGTGAAATATGGAATTTTCACAGGTATAACTCCCTACCTCTGTTTTATGGAAGGTCAGCAGTGCCCTGAGGGTATAGATGTACCATTAGCTCCTCTCAGTAGTTCTGCCTGATTTTTTTTTTCCTCAGCTGACCAAGAGCATGTAGTCAGGCATTTAGGATTAAAATGCCCTCTTTGGTCATTAGACCGTAATAATGGATATGTTCAGTGGATCTATCTTTAAGCATGGATCCACAGATAAATAACTCTGTTTGGATAGCGGTCACCTAGAGTTAGGAAATGAGTAGCTTTGTAGTTTGGAGGAGTTGACTTTTAGCTTTGGTTCTCCTTGATTATCTTGTGGTCTTTTGAGCTAACAACTCTGAGCTTTCAGTATTTTTTAGAAAGTCTCTAGAATGGGCATAATAATACTTCCTTCTAGGCTGGGCACAGTGGCTCACACTTGTATCCCAGTACTTTGGGATACCAAGGCAGGAGGATCACTTGAGTCCAGGAGATTGAAACCATCCTGAGCAATATAGGGAGACCCTGTTTCTACTAAATAAATAAATAAATAGCCAGATGTGATGGCACGCAGCAGTGGTCCCA